TTCCACTACAACGGTACAGCTAAGTATATTTTTTTAGCATTAAACTGTTATTATTATATTGTCTAATCATCACTACATATAACACCATCCATCATCACTACATATAACACCATCCTTCATCACTACATATAACATCATCCACCATCACTACATATAACACCACCCATCATCACTACATATAACATCAACCATCATCACTACATATAACAACATCCATCATCACGACATATAATATCATCCATTATCACTACATATAGCACCATCAATCATCAATACATATAACACCATCCATTATCACTACAGATCGGTAAAGTAGTTTCCGAGATTCTCGTGCGAACATGGAAACAGAAAAACCCAAGGACAAGCAGACGGGCAGCTCATTCGCTAGGCCACGGTAGGACGCCACCCTCAGATGGCTCAACATTGTCTCACTATTCAGTCCCCAAAATTTCTTCTTCCATCAATAGTTCATTAATGGTGTATGTAAGTTCCACCATGTTTTTCACTACAGCGATACAGCAAAGTATATTTTTTTAGCATTAAACTGTTATTATTTTATTGTCCAAAACACCACCCATCATCACTACATATAACAACATCCATCATCACTACATATAACATCATCCAACATCACTACATATAACATCATTTATCATCACGACATATAGCACCATCCATCATCACTACATATAAAACGATCCATCATCACTACATATAACACCATCCATCATCACTACATATAACACCATCCATCATCACTACAGATCGGTAAAGTAGTTTCCGAGATTCTCTTGCAGACACACACACACACACAGACATACCTCTTTGTTTTATATATATATATATATATATATATATATATATATATATATATATATATATATATATATATATATATATATATATATATATATATATATATATATATATATATATATATATATATATTTTTTTTTTTTTCCAAGTTCTCCCAACAAATGGTCGGAAAGTCACACAGTTGCAGTTTTACTCTTTCCATATTATGTGCAGAGAAGGGAACTACCTCTTGCTTGGAAGGCGACTCTTCCAGCAATTCTTGGTGGATGCATACTGCAAAATAGAAACTGAAAGATTGAAGTTTTTGAGAAGAGAACAGCAAAGTCTTCGTGCTGAAAATTACTCAGATTTACGTGATAGTCTGCTTGCTGCTGATGGAGATCCAAATCAAGTTGGTCGTCGCATTGTGCTTCCAGCGACCTATACTGGTGGTCCTCGATACCTTCATGAAAAAAGATCAGATGCGATGGCCTTTGTGAGACACTACTGAAGAGCAGATTACCTTATCACTATGCCATGTAATCCACGTTGGCCCGAAATTGTTGACAATTTGGCTCCCGGATAAGAGAGTCATGATCGACCAGATATTGTTGAGAGAGTCTTCAGATTAAAAGTGAAAAAGTTTATGGAACATATGAAGAAGGGAATATTTGGTACTTTGCAAGCATGGCTGTACACCATTGAGTACCAGAAGAGAGGTTTACCCCATGCACACTTTCTTTTCTGGATAGCTCCAGAGCACAAAATCAAAGCCGAAGAATATGATTTGGCAATTTCTGCAGAAATCCCTAAAAAAGAGCAAGATAAAGAACTCCATGATCTGGTCATGAAACACATGATCCATGGCCCATATGATCCCCTAAATGAAGGATCTCCATGTATGGTCGACAGAAAATGTTCCGCGCAAGGCGCGGGTAATTCGGCTAGTTTATTATAATATTCTTAACTAGCAGAATCGCCTCCCTCCGGGCGGCTCATCCGCTAGGCAACGGTAGGACGCCACCCTCCGGGAGGCTCCACATTGACTCACTGTTCAGTCCCCAAAACTTCTTCTTCCAACAATAGTTCATTAACGGTGTATGTAAGTTCCACCATGTTTTTTACTACAACGGTACAGCAAAGTAAATTTTTTTAGCATTAAACTGTTATTATTTTATTGTCTAATCATCACTACATATAACACCAACCATCATCACTACATATAACATTATCCATCATCACTACATATAACACCATTCATCATCACTACATATAACACCATCCATCATCACTACATATAACACCACCCATCATCACTACATATAACAAAATCCATCATCACTACATACAATATCATCCATCATCACTACATATTAAACATCCATCATCACTACATATAACACCATCCATCATCACTACAGATCGGCAAAGTACTTTCCGAGATTCTCGTGAAGACACACACGGTAAGACGCCACCCTCAAGGAGGCTCCACGTTGTCTCACTGTACTGTAATGCATTAGGGTAGACTAATTTTTGGTTTTGCCATTAGCAGCAAGTATGTCGAGATTTTTGCCAGTTCCCACTCTAGAGCATCCAACATAGAACTGTCCATGAGAGAAGCAAAGAAACACTTGCTATTCATGCCAAGTTTGGTACGGGCGGCTCATTCGCTAGGCCGCGGTAGGACGCCACCCTCTGGGAAGCTCCACATTGTCTCACTGTTCACTCACCAAAACTTCTTCTTCCATCAATATTTCATTAACTGTGTATGTAAGTTCCACTACAACGGTACAGCTAAGTATATTTTTTTAGCATTAAACTGTTATTATTATATTGTCTAATCATCACTACATATAACACCATCCATCATCACTACATATAACACCATCCTTCATCACTACATATAACATCATCCACCATCACTACATATAACACCACCCATCATCACTACATATAACATCAACCATCATCACTACATATAACAACATCCATCATCACGACATATAATATCATCCATTATCACTACATATAGCACCATCAATCATCAATACATATAACACCATCCATTATCACTACAGATCGGTAAAGTAGTTTCCGAGATTCTCGTGCGAACATGGAAACAGAAAAACCCAAGGACAAGCAGACGGGCAGCTCATTCGCTAGGCCACGGTAGGACGCCACCCTCAGATGGCTCAACATTGTCTCACTATTCAGTCCCCAAAATTTCTTCTTCCATCAATAGTTCATTAATGGTGTATGTAAGTTCCACCATGTTTTTCACTACAGCGATACAGCAAAGTATATTTTTTTAGCATTAAACTGTTATTATTTTATTGTCCAAAACACCACCCATCATCACTACATATAACAACATCCATCATCACTACATATAACATCATCCAACATCATTACATATAACATCATTTATCATCACGACATATAGCACCATCCATCATCACTACATATAAAACGATCCATCATCACTACATATAACACCATCCATCATCACTACATATAACACCATCCATCATCACTACAGATCGGTAAAGTAGTTTCCGAGATTCTCTTGCAGACACACACACACACACAGACATACCTCTTTCAAGTTCTCCCAACAAAGGTCAAGTTAACAGGTCAAGAAACCTAAACATCTCAACAAAAATATGAATATTTATTAACTTATTCCCACCGCTACATGTGTACATAAAATAAAATACGTAACAATAGGACAAGATGTTTGGAAGTGGCTGAGTAAGGACTTAAGGTCCAACAAGATCACACAAAATCAATATCTAGCAAAACAAATGTCAATAGCAAAATGCCAACTCCCATAACACCAGAGAGAGGGTATATACTACTTAACTTGAGACAGCTGTGCTTAGACTGAGTATCGACTGCCAAGCCGGTCACCGACGTCGCCGCTCTACCGCCAAATTCTGACGTAGCATATGGCCAAAACATAAACTTTGTATAAATTACCCTACTGACATTAATTTCACTAATCTAACCTATATACAAACCAAATACAATAAAACATAATACAATAAATACACAATGTAATAAACAAGTTTAATACTTAAACATGACTCAGTCAGTGTGGGCGAGTAATGAGAGAATCTGCTGAAGCCAACCACACACCATCCGAACCCACGTATTTCATAGGTGGTGTTATCTAAACAGAAGCAGCAGTCCAGAAGTTATACTACAGCCTGGTTGAGATGTCGACTGTCATTCCCTCTGCTTAGGTCTGCATTGCTTTGCCTCAGGGGAACGAGAGCATCGGCCCCAAAGCCGACCACAGTTGCAGATATCGACTTTGAGGCAACAGTCACTGAATGCCGCATAGATCTGCGGCTCAACTAACTCAACACAGCCAGGGTAGCTAGCTACTCATGTATTAGGATAGTTAATTTTAAGGTAATAAAATGGCGGCGTAGGTGGCTATTTGGGGAAGGTGAAGGCCATTTTAATCATAATTAAAAAAAAGTAGTACTAGTATTAGTAGTAGTAGTAATATTATTATTATTATATTATTATTATTATTATTATTATTATTATTATTATTATTATTATTATTATTATATCCCCAGGCCTTAATGTGGGTCATTATAAAATGACCTGTGCCCGGGTGGGCTGATGCCCGTAAAAAAAAAGAAAAAAAGAAAAAAAAGGGGTAGTAGATTTCGTGAAACGGATAAAACCGTAAGTTAACTACTTAGAAATATCCATGCAGAAGAAACCCGGCTGACCAGACGTATGTCCACACTTATCCAAATCCAAACAGACTCTGGGTTCGAAAAACGAGCACCCGCCTTGTTGGGGCATGAACTCAGCCTCTAACTAATCCGCACAGTTAGGCTTATGGCGTCACACTTACAGGCCATTGTGATTGGTTATTGCCTCGGGCTTCTCAGGCACTCCTGGTTAGCTTACGGTTAACAAATTCATTGGCAAAGCTTGGAGTACAGTTTGCCTGTTCTGAGTAATTAAGTCAGGTCTTGACACTCAAGGTGCTATCACACCTCTCACTGCCACGCAGGTCACAGGTTCATACACAAGGAAAAACAAGGTAGATCATATTCATTGACAGTATATATAGCGGGAAACTCGTGTAGTGTGTTATGGCGGGTAGTCTTTGTCTCGGCTGAATTTTCCTGTATTTCCTCTAAAACATGACACAATCTACTCCAAAAAGCATGTCATTGTTACATGGGTAGTGCAGATGCTGAAGGATTGGGGATGCTGGGGAGAGTGGAGATGCTAGGGGAATGAAGATGTCGGGGAGTGAAGATGCTGGGGTGTGGAGAAGCTAGAGGAGTGGAGATGCTGGGGAGTGGAGATGCTGGGTAAGTGGAGATGCTGGGGAGTAGAGATGCTGGAGGAGTGGAGATGCTGGGGATTGAAGATGCTGGGGAGTGGAGATGCTGGGGAGTGAATATGCTGGGCGTGTGAATATGCTGGGCGTCAGAATATGCTGGAGGAGTGGAGAGGCTGGGGAGTGCAAGGCTGGGGCGGAGAGGCTGGGGGAATAGAGATGCTGGGAGAATGGAGATGCAGGAAGAGTGAAGAGGCTGGGGAGTGGAGAGGCTGGGGTAGTGGAGATGCTGGGAGAGTAGAGGTGCTGGGGAATGGAGATGCAACGGGGAATGAAGATGCCCGGTGAGTCGAGATGCTGGGGAGATTGGAGATGCTGCGGCGGGAGTGGAGATGCCGGAGAGTGGAGATGTTGGCGGAATGGAGATGCTGGGGTAGTGGAGATGCTGGGAGAGTAAAGATGCTGGGGAATGGAGATGCTACGGTAGTGGAGATGCCCAGAGAGTGGAGATGCTGGGGAGAGTGGAGATGCCGCGAGAGTGGAGATGCCGGGAGAGTGGAGATGCCGGGAGAGTGGAGATGTTGCAGGATTGGAGAGGCTGGAGGAGTGGCGAGTCTGGGGGAGAGAAGAAGCTAGGGTGTGTAGAAACTAGAGGAGTGGAGACGCTGGGGGAATGGAGATGCTGCGGGAGTGGAGATGCCAGGAAAGTGAGGATGCTGGGGAGATTAAAAATGCTGCGGGAGTGGAGAAGTTGCAGGAGTGAAGATGCTGGGGGCGTTGAGAAGCGAGAGGAGTGGAGATGCTGGGGGAGTAGAGATGCGAGAGGAGTGCAGATGCTGGAAGACTGTAGATGCTGGGGGAGTGAGATGCTGGGTAGTAGAGATGCTAGAGGAGTGGAGATGCTGGGGGATTGAATATGCTGGGCGAGTGAATGTGCTGGGCGAGTGGAGATGTTGGGGAGTGGAGAGTTTGGGGAGGGAGAGTCTGGGGAGTGGAGAGTCTGGGGAGTGGAGGGCTGGGGGGGGAGTGGAGAGGCTGGGGTGTGGAGAGGCTAGGGGAATAGAGATGCTGCAGGAATGGAGATGCACGGGATAGTGGATATGCAGGTGAGATTGGAGATGCTTCGGGAGAGGAGATGGTAGGGAGTGAGGATTCTCGAGGAGAGGAGATGCTGGGGAAGTGGAGACGCTCGGGGAGTGAGAGGCTGGGGTGTAGAGATGCTAGAGGAGTGGATATGCTGCGTGAGTGACCATGCTGAACGAGTGGAGATGCTGGGGGATTGGAGACACTAGGAGAATGGAGAGGCTTGGGGAGTGGAGAGGCTGGGGGAATAGTGATGCTAAGGGAGTGGAGATGCTAGGTGAGTAGAGATGTTGAGAAAGTTGAAGATGCTGCAGGAGTGGAGATGTTGCAACAGTAGAGTTGCTGGGGCGTGGAGAACCTAGAGAAGTGGAGATGCTGGGGAGTGGAGATGCTGGGGGAGTGAGATGCTGGGGAAGTGGAGATGCTGCGGGAGTGGAGATGCTAGAAGAGTGGAGATGCTGGGGAGTGGAGATGCTGTAGGAGATGCTGGTGAAGTGGAAATGCGAGAGGAGGGAGATGCTGGAAGAGTGGAGATGCTGGGAGTTGATGCTGGGAGATGCTAGGAGATGCTGCGGGAGTGGAGATGCTGCAGAAGGGAGAAGCTGGGGAATGAGATGCTGTAAGGTGGAGATGCTGGGGCGTGGAGAAGATAGAGGAATGGAGATGGCTGGGAAGTGGAGATGCTGGGGAGTGTGATGCTGGGGGAAGTGGAGATGGGAGAGTGGGAGACACTGGAAGGTGGAGATGCTGGAGGTGAGATGCTGGGGAGTGAGATGCTAGAGGAGTGAGATCCTGGGGAAGTGAGATGCGAGAGGTGCAGATGCCGGAAGAGTGGAGATGCTGGGGAGTGAGATGCTGGGGAGTAGAGATGCTAGAGGAGTGGAGATGCTGGGGGAGTGAATATGCTGGGCGATTGAATATGCTGGGCGAGTGGAGATGACGGGGGAGCGGAGATGCTTGGAGATTGGATATGCTGGGGGAGTGGAGATTCTGGAGGAGTGGATATGCTGGGGGAATGAAGATGCTGGGGAGTGGAGATGCTAGAGGAATGAAGATGTTTGGGAGTGAAGATGCTGGGGTGTGGAGAGACTGGGTTAGTGGAGATGCTGGGGAGTAGAGATGCTGGGGAAATGGAGATGTTGCGGGAGTGGAGATGCCAGGAGAGTGGAGATGCTGGGGAAGTGGAGATTCTGAAGGACTGGATGTGCTGGGAATGAAGATGCTGGAGAGTAAAGATGCTAGAGGAGTGGAGATGTTGGGGGAGTGAATATGCTAGGCTAGTGAATATGCTAGGCTAGTTAATATGCTGGGCGAGTGGAGATGCTGGGGAAGTGGAGAGACTGGGGGAGTGGAGAGACTGGGGAAGTTGAGATGCTGGAGGAGTGGAGAAGCTGGGGGAATAAAGAAGCTATGGGGCTGTGGAGATGCCGGGAGAGTATAGATGCTGGGGGAATGGAGATGCTGCGGTAGTGGGGATGACGGGAGAGAGGTGATGCTGGGGGAGTGGAGATGCTGCGGGAGTGGAGATGCCAGGAGAGTGGAGATTTTGGAGGAGTGGATGTGCTGGGGGATTGAAGATGCTGAGGAGTGGAGATGCTGGGGAAGTGGAGATGCGAGAGGAGTGGAGATGCTGGAAGAGTGGAGATGCTAGGGGAGTGAGATGCTGAAGAGTAGAGATGCTAGAGGAGTGGAGATGTTGGGGGAGTGAATATGCTGGGCGAGTGAATATGCTGGGCGAGTGGAGATGATGAGGGAGTTGAGAGGCAAGGGGAGTGGGGAAGTTGGGGGAGTGTAGAGGCTGGGGGAATAGAGATGCTGGAAGAGTGGAGCGGCCGGTGGAGTGGAGAGGCTGGGGAGTGGAGTTGCTGGGAGAGTGGAGATGCTGGGGGAATGGAGGTGCTACGGGAATGGCGATGCCGGGAGAGTGGATATGCAGCGGGAGTGGCTATGCTGTGGGAGTGGAGATACTGCGGGAATAGAGATGCCAGGAGAGTGAAGATGCTGGAGGAGTGGAAATGGTGGGATAGTGGAGATGCTAGGGGAGTGGAGACTCTGGAGGAGTTTATATGCTGGGGGAATGAAGATGCTGGAGAGTAGAGATGCTAGAGGAATGAAGATGTTTTGGTGTGGAGGCTGGGGAAGTGGAGATGCTGGGGCGTGGAGAAGCTAGGCAGTGGCTATGCTGGGGTGGAGAGACTGGGGGGAGTGGAGAGGCTGGGGGAGTGGACAGGCTGGGGGAATAGAGATCCTAGGGGATTGGACATGCCGGGAGAGTAGAGATGCTGGGGGAATGGAGATGCTGCGGGAGTGGAGATACCAGGAGAGTGGAGATGCTGGGGAACTGGAGATTCTGAAGGAGTGGATATGCTGGGGGAATGAAGATGCTGGGGAGTAAAGATGCTAGAGGAGTGGATATGCTGGGGGAGTGAATATGCTAAGCTAGTGAATATGCTGCTCGAGTGGAGATGCTGGGGGAGTGGAGAGACTGGGGGAGTGGAGAGGCTGGGGGAATGGAGATGCTGGGGAGTGGAGGTGCTGCGGGAGTGGAGATGCTGGAGGTGTGCTGGGGCGTGGAGATGCGAGTGGAGTGGAAATGCTGGAAGAGTGGAGATGTTGGGGACATTGGGGATGCTGGTGGAGAGGCTGGGGGGTGGAGAGGCTGGGGGGTGGAGATGCTGGGTGAGTTTAAGTGCTGGGTGAGTGAATATGCTCGGGAGTGGAGATGCTGGTGGATATGCTGGGGAGAGAGGATATGCTGGGGGAATGATTATGCTGGGGTGTGGAGATGATGGGGGCGTAGAGATGCTAGAGAAATGTAGATGCTGGTAGACTGAAAATGCTGTGTAGTGCAGATGCTGTGGTGGGTGGAGATGCTGGGGGTAGTGAATATGCTGGGGGAGAGGATATGCTGGGGGAATGATTATGCTGGGGAGTGGAGATGATGGGGGCGTAGAGATGCTAGAGAACTGGCAATGCTGGTAGACTGAAAATGCTATGTAGTGCAGATGCTGTGGGGGTGGAGATGCTGGGGGTAGTGAATATGCTGGACGAGTAGAGATGTTGGGAGTGGAGATGCCGTGGAGAGTGGAGAGGCTGGGAGCGTAAAAATGATGTGGGAGTGGAGATCATGGGGGAGTGGAGAGGCTTGGGGAGTGGAAAGACTGGTGGGGTGGAGAGGCTGGAGGAATGGAGATGCTAGGGGAGTGGAGATTCTGGGAGAGTGGATATGTTGGGGGAGTGTAGATGCTAGGGGAGTGGAGACGCTGAAAGAGTGTAGATGCTGGGGGAGTGAGATGCTGGAGGAGTGGAGATGTTGGGGGTGTAGATGCTGGGGGTGGAGATACTGGTAGAGTAGAGATACTGGGGGAGTGGAGACGCTGGGGGAGTGGGGATGCTGAAAGAGTGTAGTCGCTGGGGGAGTAAGATGCTGGAGGAATGGAGATGTTGGAGGGTGGAGATGCTGGGCGAGTGAAGATGCTGGGGGAGTGGAGATGCTGGAGGAGTGGAGAGGCTTGGGGAATAGAGAGTTCGGGGAGTGGAGATGCTGGGGAAGTAGAGATGCTGGGCGAATGGAGATTTTGGGGGAGTGGAGATGCTGGGGAGTGGATAGGCTGGGGAGTGGAGATGATGGGGAGTAAAGATGTTGGAGAGCTGGAGATGCTGGTTGAGTGCAAATGCTGGGGAGTAGTGATGTTTGGGGAGTTGTGATACTTGGGGAGTGGAGATGCTGTAAGATTGGACATATTGGAGGAGTGGAGATTCTGGGTTAGTGGAGATGCTGGGGGAATGAAGATGCTACGTTGTGGAGAAGATAGAGGAGTGGATATGCTGGGGAGTGGAGGGGCTGGGCGTGTGTTGATGCTAGAGGAATTAAGATACTGGAGGAGTTGAAAGGCTGGATGAGTGGAAAGTCTGGAGGAGTGGAGAGGCTGGAGGAGTGGGGAGGCTCGAGGAGTAGAGAGGCTGGAGCAGTGGAGAGGCTGGAGCAGTGGAAATGCCAGGGAAGTGATGATGCTGGGGGAGTGGAGATTCTGGAGGAGTGGAGATGCTTGGGGGAATGAAGGGGCTGAGGGAGTGGGTTGGTTATTTATAGACTCTTTGATTATTGCCTCCTTGGTCATTCGACTTGTGATAAGAAAAGGCTTTCCAACACAGAATGTGAATCAAAGCAAGTGATCGAAACTCATATTCCTCTGATTAATAATTCTTCCATGTCTCCTGACGATCATTGCGGATCTCATTACACTATTACGTTACATATTTCATTGCACTTTTAAGAAATGGTACCCTATATCTCGCGGCATTATGATGTCTCGCATATTATGGCACTGTGGCGCGTGTGTGTGTGAGATCTCTGGGTACTTGGCTTAGAACAGAGCCTCGTGCCGAGTAATGTGTGTTGGGTAATTATCGTGATCAGTGACCGTATTGAAAGGGTCACGTCTACCAGTTTATACTTAATGCCTGTTACCATCGTCCCCAATATTTTCACTGCCGCCACTTAATTATATTGATATCATCAGTAATAGAAGTAATGAGTGATAACGAGAGTTTAAGGCGTGCAACAGGAAAAAACCCAATTTTGACAATGCTTCGTTAGTTTCTTTTTATTGATCATTGGAAAAAAAGAGAGACGGAATATATCTCTAAATGCAAGTGAGGCTTAACACAAAGAGTCTTTGTGTTCACTTTTGTGAACGATGGTATTTATGCTATGAATGTTATAATTATTATTATTATTATTATTATTATTATTATTATTATTATTATTATTATTATTATTATTATTATTATTATTACAGCTGAAAAAAATACTAATAAAAATAATATTAATAATAACATTCATTGCATACATACCATCGTTCCCATGAGAATGTAATACCTCTGCTACTCTGGTAGTTATCATTACAAGAAGAGTTTCATCACTACCAATCGTCTTGTGACACCAATATATTTGTATCACCCGAAACATTTCTCAGCATCCCAGTGATCTCCATATATCATCAGATCAAAGAAGTTATTTCCACCACACGTGGAACACATTGTAGGCCTTATATGTAAGCCATGAAGAAGGTAAAAATGTGGTATTCCGATCATGAACTTACAACCTTAACAAAGCAGGATAACCTTGCGACCGTCGGGTTATGTGAGGATGACTAACAATAAAGCGACGAATCAGCCTGATCTCCGCGTGCAGCTGGCCACAAAAAAGTGCTACACCAAGAACAAGGATACCAGCTTCATTATCTTAATACTAATTTGGTACATGAGAGTCACGTCACGTGCACGGACCAAGTGAAGCACGGAGTTACGAGATTATATGTGGTAAAGATGGACGTTGATATGTATCCTGACGCACACATGTGACTGACACAAAGAAAAAGCCCTATACTGATATTTATGATTAATATAAATATAGACCCAACCTATAATACCTGTACACTTGGAAGCGCCCACCTGAGCACAAGTCATCGATCCACAACGGGGCCTGGCGGAGGAGGGGTAGTGATGCAGAAGAACTAGCTTTTTGGAGCGAGGCAGATTGTAAGAGGATGGAAACATGAAAGAATTCAAGGCATTCCATAGTTTGGCTATGAAAGGAAAGAAGGATGTATTATCACGTGTTATTCTAGTGTGACCGATATCCACACAGAAACGGTGGGCACCACGAGCAAGACGAGTGTTACGAGCCCACTGCCTTGCCGGCGGTACACAGAGTGCTAAATCTACCGAACATCACCCGTTAAAGTACCTGTTAAAGAGAGAGAGTGAAGCAACAATGCGGCGAAGAGAAAGGGTAGAGAGATTACGGACTACAGGAGAAGAGTTAATAAAAAGAAATGCCTTTGATTACACCCTATCTAACAGTTGGACAAAAGAAGAACCACCCCAGATATGGAAGAGTACTCCAAGTTAGGACGAATGATTCCCTTATAAACTTGAAGAAACTGCTTAGTAGTGAAGTAGCTGCAGTATCTGTACGACATTCTCAGCTTTCGGGATGCAGTTTTAGCAATGCTATGGATGTGCGACTTCCATGACATATTAAAGGAAATGTTGAGGCCTAGCGTATCTACTTTAGAATTTGGCAATATGGTTGTGTCCTGAAATGTGATTGGTGGGAGATTTTGAAAAGTGTAATTGATAATACAGTGTTTTCTTACTATTGAATATGGTCAACTTTCTACCTCCCCAATCGGAGATGTTGCACAGATCAGCATTATTAGAAACTATATAATTTCTAGAAACAGGTCTAGTTTGAGAGTTGGGGGCAGGGAAAAATGAGAAGACGAGTAAGGAATAGAATCATCATCGTAGGAATGGATAGATATAGTAGCAAAGTGAAGTAATTCATTGATAAAAGAAGGAAGAGGGTAGGTGAAAGAACAGAACTCTGTGGAAAAGCATTATTGGAAGTGAAAGATCGAGAGATGGACCCCTCGTTAACAACTGCCTTGGATCGGTTCGCCAGAACAGAGTGGAGGAGAGAAACCATAAGAAGGAAGTTAACAAAGCAAAGACTTGTGTCATACCCTGTCAAATGCTTTGGAGATGTCGAGGGCCACGGGAAAGATTTTCTCATGAACCCTAAGAGAGGATAACCAATGACGGGTGCAGTAGGAGAGCAGATCACCAGTACATCTTGCCTGGCGGAAACCATACTGGTGATCCGACAAAAGAGAAAGGCGTTTAAGGTGATGGAGAAATTGAGAGGTTAAGCTACATTCGAAAATTCTAGAGAGGGATGAAGTTAAGGCAATAGGGCGAAAGATAAAGGGATTAGAATGGTTACTCTTCTTCGGGATGGGCCGAACCATGGCATGCTTCCAAGGAGAAGCAAAAGTTTAGGTTTTGAGGCAAAGGCGAAAGAGTCGATCAAGCACCAGGGCCAGAACTTCAGCACACTACCTCAGAACATGAGGGCCCTGAGGGGGGTATTCCGTCTGGTCCATGCGCATTACTCACATCCAGATTGGTTAATACACCAGCAACCCTAGGATTGGAGATTATAGGAAAGTGCATTAGTTCAGTAGGAGCAGGAGTAGGAGGGGAAGAGTTGGAATCGTCTAAGGTGGAGATAGAAGAAATAAGGTGGCTTTATCAGAGGGAAAAGAGGAGAAAAAGAGGAAGTGCACAAATTATGACAGAGGTTTTGGGTTAAGGACCAGGAAAATTTGCCTGAAAAAGAGTTAGTTAGGGCAGCGTTTTTTTTTTTAATTCCGCTTATCTCTAAGAAGAATACCTTTACAACGATTCCTAGTATTGAAAGGAGAGAGAGTAACAGGAGGAAATAGTTACATAACTTGATTCGTCGTATCTCTCTCCCAACGTGCAAGAGAAGAGGAGCGATCAAACCATGATAGCAAAGTAAAAGTTTTGGTATAAGATAGGATAAATGCAATCAGACCACCTAGTATAATCCCGGAAATGCCGTTAGCACATACGGAGGCGTCCCGAGTGGAAAAGCAACATTCATCCCAGGGAAAATCCGAGAAGAAATCTCGCAATGATCGCCTGTCTGCCCTACCCTAGTTGGCTATTAGAGAGGGGTGGGGGAAGTGGTCGTGCCCAGTTTGATTTAATATAAAGAAGATTGTGCTCGGAAGACCCTAAGGGGCGGAAAGTGAGTATGAATAGGGTGAGAGGTTAGAGGTAAAACAAAGATCAAGAATATGTAGGATGCTTAATTATTTGTTCCAGATCATTAAGTAAGGAAAAAGAGAGTGCCTCGACTCCACCTGGTCATCCCTTACAGAGACAAGTCACTCTGTGTGATGTACAATGAAAGACAAAAGTCGTGTCGTAAAATTTGGTGAAAACATATGCCGAAGGGCTAAACTTTTGGTGCGCTCTGCCTTGTGGTAGGGGCTCACATAATGTTTCACGAGTTATATTTAATCTTCGAAC